GTTCCGCTTTCTTCTTTGTCTATTTTTTCTTTAATATTTGTCATTACTGAGGACCTTGCATATCGTAAGTAATATATAAGCTTTTTGCAACTCTTCCGATGGGACATATCACTAAACATTTGCGTTTATTAACTTGTTCTAACGTTTTAACTTATACTAATTTATTCTTTTAACTAAGACAATCACTACTTTGTATTCTGTATAATTACTATACTTCCTTCAGCAGTCTATTTGTGTATGTTGCAGAAATTATGACATTCACTAATATCCACGATTCTTTTTTTCGTTTGAAAATTTGGGACAATTCCCACTTTATGTCACTCTGGATTGTCAGTTAATCATTTTCGCCGATTCGTTTATTATCATTCAATATGTTAGCACGTGCGATGTATAATTACAAGTGACTGTAATCAGATTTAACAGCAGCATTTTGCAATTCAGGCTAAGAATTCATAAAATTCACGAGTTTCTCATTCCTGAAAGTTTTACATTGCATTCTTGAGCATGTAGACTTGCGCCACTAGATGTCCTTGCTGAACGCACTAAGAAGTATTCGGCTTATGTTAATGAGTCAATAAGTTCGATTATGAGTGACCACACCTGCCAGTTAGCATGAGACGTAAAATGTTTAAAGGAGAGCTACTGACTCTGTTTTATTGAAACATGATTGAAAGTAGAATATTAGATATAGCTATACAATTCATTAATATATCAAAAACATGCAAGAGATAAAAACAGATTGTTAAACCATTGTAGAAAAGTAATGAAAATTAGTAGTAATTTCTTCCAAAATGTCAATTAACAAGTCAAAAATATAAACTTGGAATATTTCACGATGTCTTTCTCACCATTATAATGGCTCATTTTCCGGCTTCTTAATTTGCCTACGAATATAAGTTACATCATCAGCAATAGTACAATTAAAACGTAGACCGTAGAGGTATAGCAAAATGAAAAATGACAGCGTTACAAAGTATGATTATATAGAAATGATTAGAAGATTTTTTTACAGTAAACAATAATAGCAACTCACAGTTGTTCTGTTATTCAAAAAAAGAGAGTTTTTGGAACTGCACTAATTCTCTCAATGTTAGCTGAAAAATGCGTTATTAAACGCTGTACAGTGAACAACTTGTCCTAACCAATGAGCGGATTAAAAAACAAATTCAAAGTAACAGTAACAGATGGGAAAAGGGGACAGATACACTATCAAAAATGAAGGTAACTAAAAGATCAGTTTAACAAAGAAATGTGTTTATAACAGTATAAATTTCAACAGAGTGCAAAATATGCATTGCATTACGGCCCCCTATTTCAAACCTATTTAAATTCCATTAAAAGCACTCCGCTGAGTAACATTTAGTATTGTGTGAGGAATTTGGGAAGGAGTATAATCCAAAATGACCACTAGGTCCTTCAGCCGTGCGTGAAATCCAACTTGGACTGCTGCTAATCGAACGCAAAATCTTTTCATTCTTGTTTAGCATATCTGCATCCGTTTCAACAGAATGCTTCTTACGCCACCTAAATTATAATACATATCTTGTTATTTAATTGGAAAAAAAATTAGAAAAAAAAGTTCCATCTAGTAAATGTTAAGCTAAATAAATGTATTTAAACCAACAGTATAGAAAACCTGCATAACTCCAGAAGGCTGTCATCTCCAAACAACAGTCATTAAAATTCCTCTCTTCCAAAAATAAGGTAAGAAAGAATAAAGTAACTTGCTTTTCACGAACAGTAAGAACCAGGTACTCGATAGCTCCCGTTTCATACAAATAGGCGCATAAAATGTAATTGAAAGCAACAATAAGCATGAAAATCCGATAACCGAACTCCGGAAGTGGGTCATATTGCATATGTTTGGCCACAAAATACGGAGGGTTAATTGTGAGCCACACAGAGATAGAAATTAATATTACTGAAAAGCGAATTGACATTTGTCTACCAAAATATTCATTAGGGTAGATTAACATATACCGTTTTTGTGGTAAATATGTAAAATACTGAAATGACATTGCACTAACCAAGACAGGCACAAATCGGTGTGTTACTGAAAATCGTTTTACGATATGGTGGTCCTCTACTATAAATAACTGCCAAAGTTAAATATTGGAAAGAGGACAAACAAAACACTGCAGTTCCCTGCAAATCAAAACATAGCCACTACTTCATTTGAAATACAACCATTCAAAAAACCTAATAATCAAATTCCTTAATCAAAAGTAAGGAAATATGGGAAAAGGCAATAAAAAGATTCATTCCTATAAATAGTCTATTGTTACCTGCATACTTCTTTTATCCTCAACAGAAATCCCAAATGGTGTTGAGTAAGGCACAAACCATGGCTGCGCTGCAGTATATATGAAAACGGACAACTGGAACGATTATTATTAACCAGGGATCAATCAAATGAATTTCCTATTTCATTTTACCGAATTTCAAATAAAGAAGATCTGCACAGGCAAATCGTGCAGCAAAATAAGTAACAAGCTCGGTCATTTTCTAATCAGCATTCGAGCCCAGCACAAAAGAGAGAAAGAAGGGTCTGAGTCATAAAATGCTTTTGCGCTCATACTATCATACTCTTTGAACTTCACAATGAAAAACTAACCTGAAAAATAAAAACAATTAAGAGCTGCCCCACAACTGAAAGCAGTGATGCGAAAGAAAGCAATTTCGTTGGTGGCGGAGAAATTGCAAGCTTCTGACATGGTGGAGTGTATCCAAAACATGCAGCCACTGTTGTTACCAGGAATAAATCGATGAAAAGGAACTGAAAAGTTCATCAAATTTTATTTGAACAAACAACAGGCGTTAAGTGAGCTCAACAATCGTAAGTCGATGTTAACACAGAAATAACCTGAAAATCTGTAAGATTTGTAGAGAGCCAATAAAGTAAAACGACAGAAATAAACTGAGTTAATGAGCAGCTTGCCATATATTTGAAAATTCCAAACGAAGTTACCAGAGCTGCTCGACCTGAAAAAAATCGTGAACATTTATTGGTCACATTCATTGATATTTCTGGATGAAAATGTCATAATAATAACAACACCTTCACCTTCACGAATAATCATTGGAACACAACGAATATCAGGTACGCGCGAAGTAAATGGAGCTGCAATTGAAGCTTCTGCTTCAGACAACGAAATACCAGCATGAGCTGCCTGAAATCATCATATAATGAAATAATTCCCTAAATTCCACGAATTAATAGTATGACAACTATCTTCCTAAAAGACCCAACTTACACGCCTGACAGTAGAACTCAAATCCCCATGGATCGGAAAACGTAAATAGTTCTCGCCTTGATATTACATAAATCAAATGCAAATAAGAGAAAAGCAATGAAGTACTTTCAGGGCAGCACAATCGTTAGCACCATCACCACACATTGCCACGGTGTATTCAACTTCTTGAAGTTTGTTTACTAGCATTTGTTTCTGTTCAGGTGACATTCGTGCAAAAACATCACAAACAGTCACAAATTTGAGCAGCAATTCTGGGTATTCACGAGAAATCACTTCGAATGTTGGACCTGCAAAGCAGTCCATGAATTTCTCAACGGGTATATCCAATATCAGAGCATGGGATCATTAAAATAATAATACTATCATTTGCGAATTTGAGTACTTTGGAAGTGTGAGTTTTTAAAAGCGCTACTAACCTGATACTGAAAGTTGATAAGCAGGATCTATAAAATTCCTCGATTCCATGTCATAAATTGATGAAGAATCATCCAGAAGATCTTCCGACGAAGAAGCAGCCTGGAGGAAATTGACATCAGCTGAACAAAATGAAAATCAGTTACCCCACATTTTTAGTGAAAATTGCGGTAATACAAGCAGAAGAAAGTGCACACTGCGTCCAACTCAAAACTGATTTATGCTTAAACCTGAAAAATTATGAAAATAAACATTACGAGAGGTCGTCAAATTCCTAACCTGCTTCAGCAAGAGAGGGATTCTTGAGTTTGGTGAGTCACGATTACCACATTCTACGATATAGGCTTTCTTTACGGGTTGTATAATTCCACATTCACGAGCAACACTAAGCGCTGTGAGTATGTTATCACCAGTGACCATGACAGTCCGAATATGAGCTCTGGAATTTATATCAACTCTTTAATTTCAGAGAAAAAAATTATGATGCTCATGAACAAATTT